GGAAATGAACTCATTCATCCATTTGTTTCTTCAACAAACATTGACTGAACAACCAGCATGTTGCTGGCTCTGGTCTAGATGCTGAGCACGGAACAAAAAGGACAAAAATGCTTGACTTCCTGGAGCTCTTTGATCATGGTGGTGGTGGTTTAGTCGCTAAGTCGTGTCAGACTCTTGTGACCCCATGATCATGGGGAAGACAGCAAATAAACAGTGCATAAATAAGTGAAATGGTAGATATTAGGAAGTGATAAGGGCTAAAACAGAAACTAAATCTGTGGGATAGGAAAATTGCAAATTTGGTTGTGCTTTGTTTTGCTAAATGTTTTTACATGTTCAGTGGTGGGCAAAGAAATAGAAGGAAGCATAATTTTTTGTGTGTGATATGTGAAGCTGCAGGCATGACGGGCCCCAGGGGAGCAAAAGTTATGGTATGATGCTTCTGGCTGAACAGTGTGCTTCTGAAATTCAGTCCCTGGGGTGTCCCTCCCAAGTCTGTTTTCATACAGCTGAGACTGTTTCTATTTTTGTTTATTATAATTATTATCATTATTATTTATTGAGCAGCATCCAGAGGATGCCTGTGAGCACCTGACTCAGGTTTCCCCCTCTCTGCCTACAGCACTTCAGGGCTCCCTTCTCCCTCAGGATAAAACCCCAAGTCCTCCTGCAGCCCACAAGACCCTGCAAGACCTTCTCCATCCCCTCCCTGCCCTTCCCCCCTCCCTCTCTCCCCCTTGCTCACTCTGCTCCAGCCACAGCAGCCTCCTTGCTGTTCCTCCAACATGCCAGACATGATGCTGCCCCAGGGCCTTTGTATGTGCTGTACCCTCTGCCTGGAATGCTCCCCCAACCCCAGATCTCCACATGAATCACTCCCTCACTCCTCCATGTCCTTGCTCAAATGTCACTTTCACCAAAGGTTCCCTGACAAAGGTCTGCCTCAGCATCTTCCTCATCCCTGCCTTCCAGGCTTGACTGTCTCAGAATACCCCCAGATGACCCCTGCCCTTCTCTGAACCACTGGAGCTGAGACTTTGAAGGATGGATAGGAGATTAGAGAGATGTGTGTGTTAGTCACTTAGTCGTGTCCGACTCTTTGTGACCCAATGAATTGTAGCTCGCCAGGCTCCCCATCCATGGAATTCTCCAGGCAGGAATACTGGAGTGTGTTGCCATTTCCTTCTCAGGGATTGAACCTGGGTCTCCTGCATTGCAGTTGAATTCTTTACCATCTGAGCCACCAGGGAAGCCTGAATAGGATATTTGTTGTTGTTCATTCTCTCAGTTGTGTCCAGCTCTTTTGTGATCCCTTGCACGCCAGGCTTCCCTGTCCTTCACTATCTCCTGGAGTTTGCTCAAACTCATGTCCATTGAGTCGATGATGCCAGCCAACCATCTCATCCTCTGTTTCCCCCTTCTCCTCCTGCCCTCAATCTTTCCCAGCATCAGGGTCTTTTCCAATGAGCCAGTTCTTCCCATCAAGTGGCCAAAGTATTGGAGTTTCAGCATCAGTCCTTCCAATGAATGTTCAGGGTGGATTTCCTTAGGATTGACTGGTTTGATCTCCTTCATAGGAGATAAGCTGCCAGATAAAAACCAGGAAGGCGTTCTAGGTAGAATCACTGAGTCATTAAATGGTTCCCAAGTCCCCTTTGGCAGCCAAGTTTTTCCTAAAAGGCCATAGAGTATACCTTTTAAACACTGTCTCTGTGACAATCACACAGCTCTTCTATTGGGGTGTGAAAGCTACCTGGAAATGACTGGGCATGCCTGAGTGCCAAAAGGACTTCATTTATGGATTCAGAAATGTGAATTTCATGTAATTGTCACATGTCACAAAATATGCTTTCTATTTTTTTTCTCACCATTGACACATGTAAAAACATTCTTAGCAAAACAACAAACTAAAAAGGCACAAATAAAGCAAACAAAGCACAACAACAGGCCAGAGTTGGCCCATGAGCAACTCATGCTCCAAAACCTCCCATGGCTCCCTGTTGTCCCAGAGGAAAGGCCCACAGACACTTCCCTCCATCTCACTGGGGAAACTCCTATTCTCCATCTGATTACCTCTCCCAAGCCTGACCCAGCGTCTCCTCTGGGTTACAACAGTGCCTCCATCCCTGCTCGATCACACCCACCCCTACCACCGAGCTGAAACCACCTGGTCATGTAAGTAGAGCCTGAGTCCACTGTAGCCACTGCACTGTCCCCAGAATTGCCCAGCACACAGTAGGTGCTCAGGAAACAATTGTAATGTAGTAATTCAATACAATATTAATATTAATCATAGTATAATTTTAATTATGAAATATAATACCCATTATAATAATTTACATTAGAATTAATATATATAATTATAACAACCATGATATAATTGTTAAATACTATATAATATACACTATAATTATATAGTATTAATTGATACTTAATAATTATATCAATCATACATATTTATATATTATATAATTGTTAAATACCATGTAACATATCACTATAATTATATACATTCATAATTAATTATGTTAATTATTATATAATGTATGATTATATATTACATAACTGTTAAATACTATATAACATATAACTATAATTAGGGGGTTTCCCCAGTGGCTCAGCAGGTAAAGAATCTGTCTACAGTGCAGGAGGTGCTGGTTTGATTCCTGGGTTGGGAAGATCTTCTGGAGAAGCGAATGGCAACCCACTCTAATATTCTTACCTGAAAAAGCCCATGGACAGAGGAGCCTGGCAGTCCATGGGGTCGCAAAGAGTTGGACATGACTGAGCAAAACTATTATAATTACATATTATTAATTAATATTTAATATATTGATCATTATATAGTATATAACTGTTAAATACTATATAGCATATAATTACATATTATTTAATATTTAATAACTATATTGATCATTATATAGTATATAATATATATTATATAATTGTTAAATACATATAACATATAACTATATGTTATTAATGAATACTTAGTAATTATATCAATCATATGTAATACATAGTCACATTAAAATTATATATTATATAATTACATATATAATTTTAAATACCATATAATAAATAATATGGTTATAATTAATAATATATTATTAGGTAACTATATTATTCTATATTATATTCTATAATTATTTATAAATTATTGTGTATAATAATTTGTATCTTTTATTACATATTGTGTAATATTAAATATAATCCAATATTTAATAAACTATATTAAACTGATTTACTATTTTTAACATAAAATTATTTAATGTAAAATTTTGTCAGAATTTTATAAACTATAAATTCCAGAATAATGTAAAATAATAAAATAAAATAACAAAATTTAATTATTTAATATAAATCTTATACCATAATTTGATATATTATTATATATAGTATATATATTTGATATATGTAAAGTTTGTATAAGATATGTGTTTAATAGCATAATAACACTGGCAGTCACAGTGATTCCACCTGCTCGCACCTGCAAGCCCTCTTTGTCCACCATGTTTAATCATGTCCAGGGGAGGAGCAGGAAAAGTGTGCTATTTAGAAGCCACATCAGCTGAAGCTCAGAGAGGTCAGGCAGATATCCTGAAGGTCACAGAGCCCAGCAGGGACAGAACCAGCACTGGGTCTCAGGGGACAGTGGGTGGCACAAGCAGGTGCTGGCAGAGGGCAGGGCTGGCTGCCAGCCAGGCCCCTGGCTGACTGCTCTGGCCCCCGGCAGGTCTTCATCGCCCAGACGGTGCTGCAGAGCCCGCCCGCCATGAGCCCGACGGGGCAGCTGTCCTGGCCCACGGAGCGGCAGCTGCTCATCTACCTGCGAGTGGCCACCTGGAACCAGATCCTCGACCCCTGGGTGTACATCCTGTTTCGCCGGGCAGTGATCCAGCGCTTCTACCCTCGCCTGAGCACCCGGTCCAGGTCACTGTCCCTGCAGCCCCAGTTCACCCGCAGGTCAACGATACACTAGGTCCTAGGCTGGACATAGTGGCGGCTCTGGAAGGACAGAGCACCCTGCCAGAATGTCCCTCACCAGACCTTTATCCTCCCAGTCGGTCGCATCTGTCTGTCCTGATGCCCAGGAGCCAAGAGTGCAGCATAGACAGAGGGTTTGAATAACAAAATTGTGTGCTATCTTCCATCAGCCCCAGGGACCGCCCCCCCAAGTCTTCCCTGACTCCCCTTTCCAAAGCCCTTCCCCTCTCTCAGACCCTACTTTGAGTCCCCTCCCAACTCCAAAAAGTACTGGGCAGTTATCTGGAGGAAATCAGACTTGTAAGCCTCCCCTTGCAGAAATCCTCCAGAAATAGGGGGCTCTGACCCCTGAATCTGACCTGCTTACTGGGGTATGGTTGATTCCCTTTGACACCCCAATTTGAGAAGGCTCTGTCTAGAAAAATTGAATGCCAACAGACCCCCTTTCTTGCCAAAATATAATCTCCACCTCGGCTTTATTTTCCTTTGGCTCTGAAATCATCCAAAATAGAAGTTTCTGGTGTCAAGATTCCTATCCAGCCCATAGCTGCTGAGCAGGACTAGAGCTGGGGTCGGGGAAGCCCCAGCTGAGCAGAACTAGGGTGGGAGTGGGGGAAGCCCCAAGAGGTGGGGCTGGCTCCTCACTCCTCTCCCCACCCCCTTTATTGAGTCTTCCCTAAGCATTTCACGGTTGAGATCTCCTGGAATCCTGCCTGCAACCCTAGGAGCGGTTCTGGGTTAAACCCATTTAGCAGATGAGGAAAAGAGAGGACAAGATAGATACCTAGAGACCATGGGATACACGCCTGCTTCCTCCACTGCAGATGGAGCACATGCCTTCATCGGCTTATGGTTTCACCATCTATCCACTCAGCCCCTCAGACTCCCTGCACCTTGAGCAAGCGGCTCCTGGCCCACAGTAGCTGCTCAATAAAAGTAGACTGATCCTGTACAGACTGCTGTGTGTCTGCAGGACCTTCAACGCCTGCGCAGTTAGCACTTATAAGGTGCTAGGCACATAGTAGGCACTTAAGAAGCATCTAGTGTTTTCATGTCAGCACCCCTTCCTCTGCTCTCCCCCAAATACGCCCCAAAATAACACATCAGGCTGCAGGGGTGGGAGGTGCCTTTATGCCTTTATTCCCCACGAACCCTCAAGCCCTCAAGGTACATGAGAAGGAAACTGCCTCCTGCCTCCCCTGCTCGACCCTACCTCACTGCCCTCCCATAGACCTAGGATCAGCTGTTTCCACCCTCCCTTCCTCACCTGCCCCACCCCATTTACAGGGATGGGGTGTGTAATACAGTCACCTGCTACTTCTGAGCAACCCAGGCAGGGAGGAGCAGGAGAGGGGATGGGGGCCATGGGGGCTCCAACTATGTCACACCCAATCTACTGCCCTCCATGGTGGGGTAGGAGCTTTGACTCCCGTGGAGGTAACTTAGACTCCCTGAGCATGGAGGAGGGGGCAGTCCCCTCAAATGAGGGTTCAAGGGGCTGAGAACTAAGGAGGGCCACCCTGGGGGCAAAACTATGGATGACAGATTTGGTGGGTGGGGTAGACTTCTGGGGTCCCAGCTGGGGCTTGAGGGAAAGGGCTGGTTTCTGGGGGGTGAAGGGGAACTGTGGCTGTGGGGCCAGGGGAGAAATTGAGGGGCTTCCGCCAGGCCCAGGGTCGGGCGGGGTTCCTCGTCCCAGATCATGGGGCTGGGGCTGGGGGCAAGAGATTCGGCTAGGACCTGGAGTCGGGGCTCTGGGTGGTGGGCCTAGGTGTTGAGGTCGGGCATAAGGGGTGGGATAGGACTGGGTTCTGGGGTCAAGGCCTGGGGTCTGTGGGCAGGGCCCCTTTCTAGAGCTGAGCTGAATTCTTGGACTGGTCTGGCTTCTAGTTTCAGAATCAGATTCAGTTCTGGAAGTACGGTGGACTCCAGAGCTGGGCTGAGTGTTTGAAGTGGTCTGGGTTTCAGAGCTGGGCTGGGTCTCAGAGCTGAACTGAATTCCAGAGCTGCACTGGGTTCTGGAGCTGAACTGAACTCCAGAGCTGAGCTGAGTTCTTTCACTGGTCTGGGTCCCAGAGCTGGGCTGGGTCTTAGGACTGAGCTGGGTTCCAGAACTAGTCTGGGTTCTAGAGCCAGGTTGGCATCCAAAAGCAGACTGTGTTCTGGAGCTGAACTGGACTCCAGAGCTGAGCTGAGTTCTTTCACTGGTCTGGGTCCCAGAGCTGGGCTGGGTCTTAGGACTGAGCTGGGTTCCAGAACTAGACTGGGTTCTAGAGCCAGGTTGGCATCCAAAAGCAGACTGTGTTCTGGAGCTGAACTGGACTCCAGAGCTGGACTGAGTTCTTTCACTGGTCTGGGTCCCAGAGCTGGGCTGGGTCTCAGGCCTGGGCTGGGTTCCAGAACTGGGCTGAGTTCTAGAGCCAGGGTGGGATCCAGAAGCAGGCTGTGTTCTGGAGCTGAATTGGACTCCAGAGCTGGGCTGAGTTCTTTCACTGGTCTGGGTCCCAGAACTGGGCTGAATCTCAGGGCTCAGCTGGGTTCCAGAACTGGTCTGGGTTCTGGAGCTGGTTTGGGATCCAGAGCTGGACTGTATTCTTGAACTGCTCAAGGTTTCAGAGCTGGGTTGCATCTCAGACCTGAACTGAACTGTGGAGATGGGTTGGGTTTTGGAGTTGAGCTTGACTCCAGAGCGGGGCTTAATTCCTGCACTTATCTGCATCTCTGAGGTGGGAGGGGTTCTAGAGATGAGCTGAGTTCCAGAGTTTGCCTGCTTCCCAAAGTCTGGCTCAGTCCCAGAGCTGCCCTGGGTTGTGGCCTGGATTTGGTTTCTAGAACTTGTCAGGCTTTCTGAGCTGAGCTGAGCCTCAGAGGTGTTTTGAGCTACTGGGCAGGGCTGGGTCCTTGAACTGGGCCTACTCTCAGAGTCTGACATAGCTGTGGAGCTGAAGTCTGTGTCTGCATCCTTCTGGGTCCCAGGACTTGACTGGATTCCAGACATTAGCTGTATTCTGGAATGTACCTGGGTCTCAGCAGTTGACTGTGTTTTGGAGTCAGGTGGAATTTCAGAGCCAACCTGGGCTCTAGAACCGAGCTGAGTTCTGGAGCTGGGTGGAGTGCTGGAGGTGGACTGAACTCTGGAAAGAGGCCAAGCTCGGAGATCTGTCCTTGTCCCAGAGCTGGATGGCATTCTAGAGTTGCTCTGTGCTCTGCAGTGCTCATGGGGCTTAGCATCAGGCTGAGCTCTGGAGGCAGGTCTTGCCCCAGCAATGGGTGGGGGTCCAGAGCTTGTCTGAATCCTGGAGACAGGTTTGCTTGTCACACGAGGCTGGGGGCTAGATCTGGGCTCAGTCTCTGAGCTGGATTCATCACTGGAGCTGGACTGGGCCCTAGGACGCAGATAGGGTCTGGACCTGGGCTGGACTGAAGTATGCATCTGGGTTCCTGAGCTGGCCTGGGTTTGGGAACAGGGTTGCACTTCAGAACCGTCTTTGACTACTAAGCTGGAGTGGCTTCTAGGGCTGGACTGCCTCTTGAGTCTCACGTGGGCTCCAGAACTAACTGGTGTTCCTGAGCTAGATTGAGTATCCAGGTGTGGCTGAGTCACGGAGCTGTCTTGAGCTGCAGAGTTGGATCGAGTTTTATGGCAGGGCTTGGTCATAAAGCTGGCCTGGCTTCCAGAGCCAGGTTGGATTTCAGAGCTGGGGTGGGTCTTCAAATTTATCTGGGTTCCAAAGCTTGACTTCACATCAGAGCTCCGCTTAGCCTCAGAGCTGGCTTGGGCTCTAGAGCTGTCCTGGGCTCTAGAGCTGTCCTGGGCTCCAGAACTGAGCTGGGTTCTGAAGCTGGACTGCATCTCAGAACTGGATGGGGTTCTAGTGATGAACTGGGCCTCAGAACTGACCTGGGTTCTAAAGGGGGACTTGGTCTCTGAACAGGGCTGAGTCTCAGTTCTGGGCTTGGTCTCTGAGCTGGGCTGGGCTCTAGAGTAGGGCTGAGGCTCTGATCTGGGCTTGATCTCTGACCTGGGCTGGGCTCTAAAGCAGGGCTGGGGCTCCGATCTGGGTTGTGTCACAGATCTGAGCTTGGTCCCTGAACTTGGCTGGACACTAGAGCAGGACTTGGGCTCAGATCTAAGCTTGGTCTCTGAACTGGACTGTGTTCTAGAGCAGAGCTGGGTCTCAGGTCTGGGCTTCTGGACTCTGGAGCAGGGCTGGGCTTTGGAAACTGACCGGGAGGGCTGGGGCAGGGGGCTGGGCTCCGAGCTGGGGCTGCGCTTGGCACCGGGGCAGACTAGCCACAGGCTTCCCTGGCCTCGCCGATGGCGGCCCACACCTCCACCACAAACTCGTCCGGGAAGGCGAACTCGCCCAAGACGGAGTCTAAATGGCGTGCAAACTCCTGGACGCTCACTGTCTTCTTGGAGGTCTCCACCATGGTGGATGCTGCAGGCCAAGCAGAGGGGAAGTGGGTGAGGGTCCTCCCTGGGGTGGGGGGGGATTCCCGTCTCCTCCCCATGGGCTGTCCTCCCCCCAGGGTCCACCCAGCTTACCCTGGCCCCTTACCCAGCTCTGGGTCCCTAATGCCCATGTAACTCTCCAGCAGGTCATCCACCCTCCGAGATGCCTCCTCCTCGAATTCACTGGGCTGGGGGCATGGGGGGCAAAGCAGAGAGTCAGAAGCCTGGGATCCTCCCACCCAGCCCCCTCCCCAAGTCACTACCCCTTTGGTGGTAGCAGATTGGGACCTTCCATGAGTCAATGCTTCTGGTCCCGCCATTACTGCCCTGCCTGACAAGAACCCATTCTGAAAAAAAAAAAAAAAAAAAAAGAACCCATTCTGCAGATGGGGAAATTGAGGCTGGGTAAAGGAGAGGGTTTTCCCCAAGGTCATGTTGAGTTGGCATCAGTGGTAGAACTCTATGTGCAAGAGCCCCTGAAGGCCCCCCATCCCCTCCACTCACCACTTCCTCTACAGTGGCGGCCCCCCCAGACCGAAGCCGCAGGGTCTCCCTCCCACTGCTGACTTTCGCTTCCATTGGGTATTTGCTGCTCCGGCTCCTCTGGCCGATCATATCTGGAGGGGACAAAGGAGAAGAGGTGCGTGTGTTCCAGGTGAAGCTACATCTTTGTAAAGACTCAGAAGCCACTTAGCCCTTCTAGAACATTCCTACCCTCCAAAATCCTCCTTATTTCCATGGATGAATCCTCAGAGATGCTGTTTGAGAATGCTTCCTTCCCTTAAATTTCCCTCCTCCTCTCAAAATGACTCTCCCTAGAAGAAACTACTTCAGATTCTCCTTGGGACCAGTTCAGAAAGTATCTTGCTATAGAATTTGCTCTCCCTAATCTAGTCATAGCTTCCCCGCTACCCACTCCAGTATTCTTGCCTGGAGAATCCCATGGACATAGTAGCCTGGCGGGCTACGGACCATGGGGTCACAAAGAGTGGAACATGACTGGGCAACTAACACTTTCACTTTCACAACCTAGTTGTGAGGGCTTCCCAGGTGGCTCAATGATAAAGCATCTGCCTGCCAATGCAGAAGACATAAGAGATACGGGTTCAATCCCTGGGTCAGGAAGATCCCCTGAAGTAGGAAGTGGCAACCCACTCCAGTGTTCTTGCCTAGAGAATCCCATGGACAGAGGAGCCTGGCAGACTACAGTCCATGAGGTCACAAAGAGTAGGACCTGACTGAACAACTGAGCACTCACATGCATGGTGACCTCCTTATCTCATCCATGGACCAGTCACAGACTTCTCTTTGAAAAGCTCCATTCTAGGATTTGCTATGAAAGCCACTCTCTAGAACTCACCAGGGACTCAAAGCAGGACTTTAAAAGCTCCCAGTCAGGTTACAAAATAGATCCAGACAGCTCCTTATCCTTTCTCAGTCTTCCCAAGCCTCCCCCGACCCCGTGCCTGGGCTGACTCTATGACAATGTAGAAACAACCCACCTGTTTCTCAAACAGTGCCAGAAGGTCTCTGTCCTGTTACCAGGAGCATCTAGAACCTTCCATCCTGTCCCATCCCCTGACTCTTTGCCACTCCGTACATCCAAAGAACCCATTTCTGAAAGAGCTTCACCCCACCCAGCCTGTCCCCCAGGGCCCCAGGTGGCCCTCACCGAAGGCTCTCTTGGGCTGCACCAGCCGCAGGGTGAAGGGCTGAGACTTTGGCAGCTCACGCAGCATCTTGGCCACCTCGTAGTGGCGGCAGCCGACGATCGAGTGGTCATTTATGGCCTCAATGCTGTCTCCCACACACACTGCCTCGATTCGGTTGATGATGCTGCCTTCCTTGATCCTCTGCGGGGGACCCAGAGTCATTCACAGGACTCCACCATCCAGCCACCCCACTCGGGTCCCCAGAGCCCATTCACACCACAGAGGAGCAGGGGCTCACCCCAGGTCGCCGGACACCCTGGAAGCCACCTGCCCCACCCCCCAGGTGGGCACCTTGATGAAGGCATAGCCGGCCCCATTGTCCGTGATGGTCAGTCCCAGGGCATCCTCCGTCTTAGTGACCTCCACCTCCTTGGTCTCGCCGCGCACATGGGCAAAGATAAAGTCCTCCAACCCTATCTGGCCGCCCAGGAGTTTCTGCATGTCCACCTTGTGGCTGTTTAGGGTGCAGAATAAGATCTGCCCAGAGAGGAGAGGAAGCCCCAAATTAACGACAGCCCTCTTCCCCCACCATCTGCACAGAACAACCAGGGGATGGGCTCAGGGGCCTGATAGGGAAACTGAAGCACAAAAGCACAAAACCCCAGGATCATAGTCATGCTTAAGGGCAGAATGTGGGATCCTCAGAATGGAGTAGGATGCGAGGAGACTGGGACCCCCAGAATGAGGAGTAAAATGAAAAGGAGGCTGCGGACAGATGGACACCCTTCTTCCATCCTCCCTCAGACTTCCACTTTTAACCCTTTGGTGACCTGACAACCCCAGACCATCTTTTAAAGGCAGTTAATTCCAAATCTCCTGGCGCCCCCTGGGGGCTGAGGGGCGCACCTGCGGCCCAGCCCCTGACTCCCACTACCTTGGACCTCTCACCTGGCAGGGGGCTGCCTGGAACCCCAGTCCCCAGCCGTGTCCAGGAACCGGAGGCGCTTCCCTGAGGGCTGGGGTTCACTCCTACCTGAGTAGCCCAGTGTTTTCCGGACGATCTAAGGATCCATGAACCCCTAAGACTTGCTCACTTTTTGCACAGGGAGTGCAAAGGGGTCCACGAGGTATGGGCACCGCAGGATCTGAGAGGTGAGTCTCTGAGATCTGGAGATAGGGTCCCCTCCATCCGGAGATGGAGGATCTGGGGGGCCCCGTCCCAGAGTCCAGGGTTCACCCCTATCCCCGGTCGACTAGTGAGCCTCGGGTGCTGGGGTCCGCGGGCCTCACCTCGGTGGGCGCGATTCCGAAAGCCTCGGCGATCTTGGCGTAGAGTTCGCGCACGTTGGTGAAGCCCTCGATCTTGCCGGTGGGGCTGCCGTGCGCCAGCTGCGTGCGGAAGACGAGGCGCGGGCGGGCGCGGGGCGCGCTTGGGGTCTGGGACGCCGCCGGGGGCTCGGCGGGCGAGGGCGGGGGCGCGGGCAGGCGCTGAGCCTCGGCCCCCCGGGCCTCGCTGGCCGCTGTGGTCTCCATGGCAGGAAGAGCTCGGTCACCGGGGCCACCGCCACAGCCGCCGGATCCGCCGCTTCCTGCGGGCTCCCCTCCCCCGGCCCAGGGCGCGACAGCCGAGCCGCCCGGGGTAAGGGGATCCGGGAACCCGAGCCTCTCGGGAAGGCGACACCGCGGAGTGTGTATGGGGGGTGGGCCCCAGGTGTCCCAGCCCTGCCAGGGCCAGCTGTGCTCTCCCCGGGGAGCAAGGGAAAAAATAAGGATCACAAATAAGGATAGGGCAACTGCCAGTGCCGGAGCGATCACTCTCTGCTGGGCGCACTCATTTAATCCTTGCAACAACCGTCCGAGGTGGGGAGGACCCTTACCCTGGCACAACTGAGCCACATCGTGTCCATCCCCTGCCCACAGCCCTCCAGGGCTCCCACCTCCTCTGGGGGTAAACCCTAGTCCTCTATTCTGCCCACAAGACCCTGCATGACCTGCCACATCCCCATTCCTGCCCCCTTCTCCTCCCTATTTTCTTCTGACTCACTCTGCTCCAGACACATGGGTGTCCTCCCGGCTCATTCAACACACAGGGCCTGGTCCTGCCCCAGGGCCTTTGCACAGGCTGTGCCCCCTCCGACACCTGGAACGTCTCCTACATCTCCAAGTGGTTCACTCCTTCGCCTCCTCAGCTCTTGGCTCAGATGTCACCTCCTCTCACCAGGTCCCAATTTCTCTTCCCTGCTTTTTTTCCTCCCTAGCACTGAGCGTGACCTGGCAGGGCAGATATTTTATTTATTCATCCTGTGTTTCCTCGGTCTCCTCAACTGGAAGCGAGGCAGGCAGGAGTTCTCTGAGCCCGCTGGATTACAGATGAGGAGGCCCAGGGTACTAGGAGGTTTCTCTCAGGATTCCCTGGGAACCCAGTGTCACCAAAAGGAATGTTGCTTTTGGCTCAATGAACAGCACTGGAATGCCATATAGCAGCTCAAAGCGGGGGCCTTATGCCTCTGAAGAATCTCAGAAACCAAGCATTGCTGTAAAAGGCAAGTTGCAGAAGGCTTCGGAGGGGGTAAGAAAATTTATGTAAAGCTTGAAACCGTGCAGAACAGCATACACACTGTAACACAGATGAGCCTTGAAAACCTGATGCTCTTTGAAGGAAGCCAGATTGCAAAGGCCCCATAGCCTGGGATGCCATTTAGATGAAGTGTCCAAAACAGCCAATGCATGGAGACAGACAGTGGATTTGTGGTTGCCAGGGGCTGGGGGAGGGGAGGATAGGGAATGATAGCTAACATGGAAGGGGATGTTGTTTGGGGGGTGATGAAATATTCTGGAATTAGGTGGTGCTGGCGGTTGCACAACTTTGTAACTATACTAGAAACCACAGAATTGTACATTTTCAAATCTTTAGAAAACAAACTAAAAAAAAATCCATCAAAATGGTATTCTTGTGGAAAGACATCCTTTTGTGCTAAAGGTTATGTATAGACCTGACCAGGAATGGTAAACTCCAAACCTGTGATGAGGGTATGATGCCAGGGAGGGTATGAGGTGAGGGAGCACACACTTTGTGTGTGTGTGTGTGTGTGTGTGTGTGTGTGTGACAATATCCATCTTTTCCAGTCTCCTGGGGTGGCCATAACACAGTACCGCCAGTTGGGTGGCTTAAAAACAAAAGAAATTTCTTCTCAAAATTCTGAAGGCTACAAATCCATTTGTCAGCAAGTCCAAGCTCCTCTGACTGCTTGGGTGGCATCCTCTCCCCCAACCACCACGCCCAGCCTCTGTTGGTGGCTAACCCTCCTTGGGCTTCCATGGGGGTGTGCTCTGCTCGTGTCTGCCTGTTGTCACATGACTGTCTCCTTTCTCCATGTCCAAATCTTTATCTTCTTATAAGGATCACCAGTCACATTGGATTAGAGGCACCCCCATACACACTCCAAGATGACCTCATCTTAACTAATTATAGCCTTGGTGACCCTATTGCCAAATAAGGTCACATTCTGAAATTCTGGGGGTTAGGGCTTCAAGATTTTCTTTGGGCGGGACTAAATTCAACTGATAACATCAGTGTTTGTCAAATTAAATCTCTGGAATTTTTAGGGTGTCTCAAATATTCCATAAAAGGTTGAAGTCTCTGAAAGCGTTCCCCAGTAAGTTAAGCACAGAATTATCATCTGACACAGCACGTCTGCTTCTTGGGATCTACCCAGAAATAAGAGCAGGTGTTCAAAGAAAAATCTGTATGTGTGTGTTCTCAGCAGCATAATTCACAATAGCCAAAAGGTGGAAACAACCCAAGTGTCCATCAACCGGTAATGGGTAAACAAAACATGGGCCACTCACACTATGGAATATACTCTGCCAGAGAAAAGAATGAAGCACTGATATACACTACAACATGGACTTTGGGGACATGGCGCTCAGTGAGAGAAGCCAGACACAAAAAACCCACGGTGTGTGATTCCGTTTATATAAAACATCTAGGACAGGTAAATCCAGAGACAGAAAATGGACTAGTGGTTGCCAGGGGCTGGAGAGGGTAGCCCTGGGACCCCAACAGAGGATCCTGGCCCATTCCCCTTTTAAAAAAAAAAAGCACATATTCATTTAAGTTTGAAATTCAAATTCCACTTTTTTTTTTTTTATTTAAAAAGTCCAGATCGAGTGGTGGCAAAAAACTGCCTCCATGGTGGTTTCTCAGCTGAATGAGCATGGGGTGGTGCCAGCCCCCCCATTCAGGGGTGCAGGAATGCGAGGGTGACAGATAGATGGCCCCGCCAGGAGTGTGAGAGTATGTCCCTGCAAGGTGCCTGCCCGTGTGGGTACTTAGGGTGACACCTGCCAGGCAGGAGTCCCCGTGTATTAGATGTGGGTTTTCTCTGCCCTGGGTCTGGGAGCTGGTCCCGGGGAGTGGGTGTAGGGTGTGTAACTCTCCCTACACCAGCAGTGTGAACGGCTGTGGGTTTCCTCCTGTCCCGGGTTACATTGCCCCTCGTGTGTTCCCACATCTGTGTAGTGTGATGTGACCTGTGAGGCCAACAGGCCTGGCTGGGCCCTGGGAGTCTGTGCACAGTGCATGGTGGGTGTGTTTTCTGGGATGGGGACCTGGGGAGATTCAAAGCTAGAGGGATGCTGTAGAAATTTAATTTTAGGGGGGCTAGAGCCCCCAAGGTGCAGGATCAGGCCTGGCCCCAGAGGATGGAACCCCCACCTCTCCTCCAGGGGGTGCAACTGGGGGAGGGGCCATGACTGGAGCTTAGTCTTCTCTGGATCCGTGGGGCGGCCAACACCCTCATAGATGCTCACTGTGACAAAAGAAAAGATTAGGTGATGGGGGACCCACATCAGGTCTCAGTCCAATACCCCTCTGCTCCTTCAGATGCTAGGGTGGGGGCCTGTAATTGATCCCACCTATCCTGGTCAGCCAGGAGACACCCAGAAAAACCCACGGAGAAGCTGTGGTGAAGCTCTGGGTCCCCCTCCAGCCAAGGGTGTGCGGCCCCAAGATCCCCCAAGCAGCATTTAACATAGTACCAGGCTGAATTAGGGCCCCCCAGTAGCTAGGTCATTAGCCACCTACATCAAACCAGCCCCACCTAGTAGATCCTGCAAGGACTGTGGCCTCGGAATAAGATCTGGCAGCTAGAGCGGCCCCAGACTCCAGAAAGCCCGCTGGAGACCTAAACCCGGTTTATGGAGCCAGGCTCCTCCAGGGCGAGTCTAGCTTGAGGTGGTCCCCACGCTAGGCAGCCCAAGCTGGGCTGAACGGACAGGGTGGCAGACCTGCCCGGGTACACACCTGGCGACCTGGGCCAGGATCTCCTTGATGCGGACGATGAGCTTCTCGTGCTGGGCGGGGTCGCGCTCGATGGCGCCGTGCAGCCGGGCCATGTAGAAATCCAGAGTGCTGAGCGTGGGCGTTTCGCCGGTGCCTGGGGAGGCGGGGACACGTCAAACGAGCCCAACAGGGGGTCACCACGGAAACAAAGATCAGTGGGGTCAGATGGGCGTGGTCAGGGAGTCTGGACCTGGGAAAATCAAGGTCAACTGTGGCAGAGGTCAGAAGATGGAAGATGGAGAGGGCGGGGTCGTGATGGGGGGATTCGGGGACTGGTGGGGGAGAAGTTGGCCTAGGTCCGCTGAGGAATGAACACGGAAGTTGGACCTGGGGAGAGGCGGGGCTGGAACGAGCAGCATTCAGTGAGGAAGGGGCCGTGGGGGCTTAGGATAGCCGGGAGTAGGATCAGCAGGGGCACGTCGGTCGGACAGAGAAGCGGGTTTGCGAAGCGACTCGGGGGCAAAGGGATGCCAGAGTGAGGACTTGCCGGGAGGGGTCAGAGGGGGCAGGAATCGTGGAAGCCGGGGCGGAGCCCGAGGTCGTCGAGGGCGGGGTCAGAGGGGGCGGGACTCGCGGGGTAGGCGGGGTGGGACTCGTTGTTGGGGGCGGGGCCTCCACACCCGGCACTGGCAGCGAAGCGAAGCTGGCGGTGAGCGCCTGGCGCACCGCCTGGAGCTGCTGCTGCAGCGCCAGCGTCCGCCGCTCCTCCAGCGCCAGCTCCTGCTCCAAACGCTCGCGCGCGCTGCTCATGCTCTGCGTGTGCCTCTGCAGCACCGCGTTCTGCTCCTCGAAGGCCACGTTCATCTTCCGCAGGCGCCGCAGCTCCGCCTCCCGCGCTGCAGGCGGGGAGCCGGGTCAGAGCCTGACGCTACCCCGCCATCCCCCTGCCACCTTCCCTCTGCCGGCTTCGCCCCGAGCTGTGCCCCACGCCAAGCCTTCCGTCACTGCTCTGTCTCCAGCCCCACACTTCAGCAGTATGGGCTGCGAGGGCAAGAAAGGAAGGCACCCACTGCCTCCCGCCTCGGTGCGGTGCCCTCTTGGTTCAACGCGTGCTTCAAGAACCGCTGGTCAGCGCTCACCTTTGTTTTGGTCCAAGAACTCTTCAGTGAAAATGGGGACGTCGAAAGTTGAGAAGCCATCACAGTCCCCACCCTGGGACAACAGAACAAGGTGGCAATTTGGGGGAGGGGGCAGTCAACCCCTCTATGGGACATCCCCTAAGCTTGGGAGGGTCTCCTGAGGCTACCTGGGTCAGAGTCCATTTTACTGTCTCCCCCCAATTTGTGTGGGTGCCCCGCCTCCACTCGCACACATCTGGACGGGGCGCTCACTTCACCCCATGAGCAACGGTCCTTAGTCACCCGGGGGTTTAAACACTCCAGACCTTTCTCGCCCAGGTGTTCTCCTTGGAGGAGGGACGCTTACCTTGTGTCCATTCAAAAGGGTATTCATGAGCCCAGAGCCGGAGTCCTCTGGTGGGGGAGGGAGGAAGGCAGAGTCAGCCTCCCAGGTCTACTCTGACCCCCTGCTTTGCACATGCTGTCCCCTCTGCCTGGAATGCCATTATTTCCACCACGCCCCCGCCCCCCCATCCCTGTCGAGCCCTGCTCTTCCTGGGCCAAAGGCCCCTCCTGGGCCCCTCCCCCACCCTTATTTCCATGCGTGTCCCATCTCAGTACAGATCAGCCCCGTTCACTCACAACTGTCTGGTTACATGTGCCTCGTTCCCACGTGACCGTGAGAGTCCTTTTGAAAGGGGGTGGGGGGGCGGCGCCGGCCTGGGTCACCTGTCTCAGAGTAAGCACTCAGCTGCCTGGGGGCTGAGGTCCTTCGCACCTTTCTTGATCTTCTTTTCCTGGATCTTCTCCGCACACATCTTGTAGGCTTCTGACTGCTGGTAGGCCCTCAGCTCCTTCATGTACTGCTGCTTCTCCCGTTCAGCCTCGTCCAAGTACCGCTGGCAGGGGCAGCAAGAGAAGGCTCGGCCCAGTGGCAGTGGAGGCCTCGCAGGCTCCATCACTCAGCCCGCTGTGCTACACTTTACCACAGCTCCCTGCTGCCCTCCAGACAAAACTTCGCCCTTCACTCTGCTGCTCAGGCCACCTCCCAACTCCCAGTGTCTGGAGTTGGGAGTGTCTCACCCCAATTTCAGCCTTTCTAAACCACTCCCTGGTGTCTGTCTGCAGGCTCCCACCTCTGGGCTGGCCTGCCCTCCTAAACCCATTTTGTCTGTTGAAATCCCATGTAGAGGGTGCAAACTGCTGGTGATTTTGTTACATTTCCTTGATGTTTTTGCAAATTTTAAATTAATTACCAGAACTTTTAAATTGTAAGCTTTCTAACAAAAGTTCAGCACCTACCCCCGACTTCTTTTGTAACAGTGTTTATTAACTTTTATGTCTATTCCAGCCAACTGTCACCCTCCCCTCCCTTCAACAAGCTGGAGAGAGCTAACGGGTGGTCAGTCCTCCCGGCAGAACGAAGGGCCTGCCACACCTGTTCCTTAGGGATAAGTGATGGCGGATGAATGTCTGAGTGAGTGAGGGCAGGTCAGTAAGTGGTCCCGGGCCGTCCCCACCTGTTTCTCCGCTGGCTGCAGCTTGCTCCACTCGGCACCCAGCATCTTGGTGATCTCGGGAAAGGGCAGGTCCGGGTGGCGCGTCCGGATCTGCTCGCGCCGTTCGTTTAGGAAACGCACGTAGCCGGTGACAGGTGCCTTGGGCCCATTCGGCAGGATCTTCTTCCGCTTCTTGCCTTTGGGCCAGCCGCGCTTCTTCACCGGCTGCAGAACCCAGTCGCGCTGTTGGGAGGGGTCTGGAGGACCGGGCACAGAGGGGAAGGGGCGGGGCCCTGGAAGACTTGGGTGGGGCCTAACCACCCAAGGCCTAACCACGAGGTGGGACCCAGAAGGCATGGAAGTATGGCCTGGTCAGGGTTCAGAATTGGGAGAGTGGGGTTAAGGAACCCCTAGCCATGGGCAAAGGGAGCAGAGGTACTGGGGACAGAGCATCAACCCAAGGATGGGGTTGGCTTGTGTTGTGGGCGTGTCCCTTGTATGAGCGTGCCTTACTAGCAGAGATTCCCTGGGTAGTGGGCGGGGCCTAGAGAGAGTGACAGTGGAGCTCTTGGGGGCGTGGTATCTGGCATGGGGCGGGCCTCAGCTTGGGCAGGGAAATCTGGACTGTGGGCGGAGCCAAAGCAAATTCAAATTTAGCTCGGGGCGGAGCTTCAAGGCTAAGGGCCACCGACGCGGCAGTGCAGGGACTCTCACCTCCTCTTCGTGGGACCCCTTCTCTCCGGCCCGCGGGCCGTCGCCGCGCTCTTGCTTGACAGCCACCACGAAGCCCCCATGCTGTCCTGGAGCCTTGCCGCTCGCCGGCCTGGAGCCACGGGAAGCCAGGGTCACTCCCACTCCCCACCCCCGACGACGGATTTGGCAGCAAGGGGCCTGAGTCATCAGAAGAGGGCTCTGAGAGGGTCAGGATACGGAGATTGAGACTGGAGCACTAGGGAAGCCATAGAGGACCTCGGAGAGACTAGAGCTACGGGACGCCAGGGCCTCCCACCCCTTCCCCCACGACGGAAGCGCTGGCAGCTAGCGGCCTGAGTTCTGAGAGCAGGGGTCTGAGGAGGTCAGAATCCGGGGTTAGGGCAGGAGAACTAGAGGAGGCCAGCAGGCCACTCCTGAAAAGGACTGGAGCACGGAGGTTTAGGGGAAGCCCGTGGGAACCCCGAAGTGGGGGGCTCCTGTCCCAAGTCGGAGGAGGCAAGACCCTGGGTGCGGGGGTCGAGGAGCTCCAACGGGACGGGGTGGCTGCAGCCCCGAGTGGGCTGAGGGGGAGGGGATGTCGCACTCACGCTGAGGCCGCGCCGGGCTGCTTGGGGCCGTGGGACATGGCCACTCCCGGCCGCACCTGGAACGTAGACGCGTGGCCAAGTGAGGGTCGCCCAAGCCAGCGATGGCGGGGCTGGGCTGGGGAGCCCCGTAATGCCAGGTCCGGGGCGCCTGGGGGGGCCGGAACCGGGGGCGGGGAGGCCCTCGGGGGCGGGCGCCCCAGGGATCCTTTGTTGGGCGATCGCCCCCCAGGAGGCCTGGGTCCGCACCCTCCCGACCCAGGAGGGTCCCCGACCCGGCCCTAGGATCCCCGCGCCCCCGCCTCCTCGCAGGGCCCCGAGTTCCGCGGCTGTTTTCACCTCCAAAGAAACTTTCCCGGACCTCTCGGCTGCTACGACGCTCCAACCAACCGCCGGGAGCCCGCCCCTGCCTCCGGCTCCGCCCTGCACCGCCCCCGACATGCTAATAACGACTCGGCGAGCGATCGGATTGGGTATACCCTTCCCTTGGGGCGTGACCATGCAGATGAAGGTCGGCGCGCCCGTTGGTAATTGGTTGCGGTAGCCACTGAGTCCCGTGGGAGGTAAGTAGGGAAGGCTGCAGGCGGGCACGTCAAGTTCGGCTGTGCTCGGCCGCTCTCGGGACCAATCAGGATGTTTTCAGGTTTCGCCGGGTGGAGCCTCTTAAAGGGCCAGCAGGAGAGGCTCAGACGACTCCTCCCCTGCTGAAGGCGAGACTCCCCGCCCCTGCGCGATCCCGAGACGGGTGAGGCCGAGTCCGGCCCCGCCCTAGTTGTCATGGGAACGGTAGTAGGTTGCTAGGGAAGGGGTTAAGGTCTTTTGGAGCAGTCCCTTTCCCCACTGCAAGGTGGGACCTGTTCTCAGCAGACCGGTAGGGAAGTTTCCCGTTTATTGACTGGCTTAAAGCCCCCAACGGGACTGTGCCCCGCCCTGCATGCAGGGGCTACCCTCCCTCCTGTGAAAGGGCCTCAGCTTTCTCTCCTATGCAATGGAAGCTTTGCACAGTGTCCACGTCCAGAAGGCCGCATGCGGCGAGGCTGAGACCAGGAACTGGGCTGGAAGCAACTAGGAAGAATGTGTTGGGGACCAGAAAGCTGCGAGGACCTCGTGAAGATGGAGGGCCAGGAGACCCTGCTCTGGGATCTTGGTGACCCCTAGGCAGCAGCCTGGTCCTCTTACAGCCTGGACTGTGTTTCCTCTGACCCCAGGATAACTGTGGTCACTGGATGCTCCTGATGGCCCATTAGACCCCAAACAATCTACCCACAGCACTTTCCTGCTCTCGCCTCCTTGCATTTTCCTCCTCACTTACTCCGGCGACCTCAACGTTCCTTAGATATGTCCATTTCATTCATTCCCACCTCTGGACCCTTGCACTTGCTCTTAATGCCCTTTCCCAGATTAAATGTCCCCGTTCCAGTGAGACATTCCCAGGCTTGTACCCTACCCCATACACCCCATCTTATCTTTGCTCCATATGTTCATTTCCTCCCTATAAGCTGCCTGTTTGCTCATTGCTGTATTGCCAGCACCCAGAACAGTGCCCACAGGTGCTGTTAATGCATATATATTGAATAAACAAATAAATGTATAATGTAAATTTCTAACAGGCAGGTGCAGCAGCAGCTTTGGAAAACAGTCTGGCAGTTCTTCAAAGGTTAAAAAAACAAAACACAGAGTTACCATGCGATGTACCCAGGAGTTAAAGAATGGGCTTGCAATGCAGGAGACCTAGGTTCAATCCCTGGATTGAGAAGATTCCCTGGAGAAGGAAATGGCAACCCACTCCAGTAGAGAAAAGCGCCTGGCAGGCTACAGTCTATGGGGTCGCAAAGAGTCGGACAGGACTGAGAGACTAAACCACCAGCATCCAGGAATCACCATGCAATGCATCCACTGCACTCCTAGGGACATATCCAAGAGAATTAAAAACGTATCCACACAGAAACTTGTACATGAATGTTCACGGCAGCATGATTCACAATAGTGCAAAAGTGGAAACAAACCTAAATGTCTATCAGCTGGTGAATAGGTAAATACTGTGGGCCAGCCATCCAATAGAATATTCTTGGCCATAAAAAGGAATAAATTGCTATGTCATGCTAGGACAGGGATATGCCTTGAAAACATTAGGCTCAGTGAAAGATGCCAGTCACAAAAGGCCACACAGTGTATGGTTCCATTTATGTGAATTTTCCAGAACTGGCAGCTCCAGAGAGACAGGAAGTGGATTAGTGGTGCCTGGGGCTAGAACGTCAGTGGGCAGGGGCAAAGGAGGTCACAGGGTTTCTTTTGGGGTGATCAAAACGTTCTAAAATTAGACTGCTTTGATGGCTGCATAACTCCATAAATGTACTAAAGCTCACACAATTGTATACTTTACACAGGTGCATTATCTGGTATGTGAATTAAATCCCAATGAACCTGTTTCTCTAAGAGGCATTCCAGAGCTGAGGAAGATAAGCTGTGTCCTGGAATCTTGACAGACCCAATTCCACACCCTGCTCTGTTGCTTCATCAGATGTGGGACTTCCCACACCTGCTTTCCTCTCTCTGCTGGGTTAGAAAGTATCTAGGTGAGAATTCCAGCTAGGAGAATAGGAAAGACCCACCCTCCAGGCCCTGCCTCTTTAGCTTGATTGACAAAGCTGATGTTGCCATAGAAACCTGTCCTTCCACTTTCAAGGTACCACACAAGGAATTCAGGGGTCTTCCCATGCATGGAAAAGAAATGAAAGGTCTTGAGGTTGATTTTTTAAAAATTTTTATTGGCATACAGTTGATTTACAATGTTGTGTTAGTTTCAGGTTTACAGCAAATTGAATCAGTTATACGTATACATATATCCACTCTTTTTTAGATTCTTTTCCCGTGCAGGCTATTGCAGAGTATTGAGTAGAGCTTCCTGTGCTGTACAGTAGGTCCTTAATTGTTATCTATTTTATATATATTAGTGTATATATCAATCCCAATCTCCCAACCTACTGATGTCGATTTTGAAAGCAGTTTGGAGCTCCTTGGCATCAGGACAAATTTCTTGCTGCGTGGGGATTTTCTGGGAAAAACAAAAGTGTCTTGAATCCAAATGGCATTGCATCCACTCCAGTGCATGTGATCCAGACACACACCCGTCCCCAAGAAACAACATGTAAGAAGCAGCATTTCTACCGTTTGACTTTATATCTTTCATTCTTTGATCTAAAAGCAGATCCTTTGGCCCCCAAAGTATAAATAGGTTTTTCCTTAGCCACAAACTTCTCTCAAGTCCTAACTCTCAATAAAACCAGGTTCTCTAGCTGTCTAACCTCATATAAGTTCATGTTAGTTTCTTTGCATTCATTTCTATGTTCCATTTGGAAATTTTTAAAAAATATATTTTAATTTATTTGGCTGCATTGGATCTTACTTGTGGCATCCAGGCCCAGTTGCTCCACAACGTGGAATCTTAGTTCCGCAACCAGGGATCGAACCAGCATCCCCTGCCACTGGAAGAAGAGTTCTTAACCACTGGACCACCAGGGAAGTACCTGGAAATTTTTATCGTGTGAAACCACGGAGGGGACCCCAGTTTGTCATCTGAGAAATACAAGATCCATTAAGGATGACTTAACTGTCTTTGTGAAGTTAATTTTATGATGCAAGCAATATGCAAAGTCATTTCACTTGTACAAATTAAAGTATTGTGTGAAGGCTACCAGATCCATACCATACTCCCCCTTATCAGCTTGTTACATTTCTTACCAAAACTTTTCCTACCTACCTATTAAGTTCAGTTCAGTCACTCAGTCGTGTCCAACTCTGCGACCCCACGAACTGCAGCACACCAGGCCTCCCTGTCCATCACCAACTCCCGGAGTTCACCCAAACCCATGTCCATCGAGTTGGTGATGCCATCCAGCCATCTCATCCTCTGTCGTCCCCTTCTCCTCTGCCCTCAATCTTTCCCAGCATCAGGGTCTTTTCAAATGAGTCAGCTCTTCGCATCAGGTGGCCAAAGTATTGGAGTTTCAGCTTCAACATCAGTCCTTCCAATGAACACCCAGGACTGATCTCCTTGCAGTCCAAGGGACTCTCAAGAGTCTTCTCCAACACCACAGTTCAAAAGCATAAATTCTTCAGCGCTCAGCTTTCTTTATAGTCCAACTCTTACATCCATACATGACCACTGGAAAAACCATAGCCTTGACTAGACAGACTTTTGTTGGCAAAGTAATGTCCCTGCTTTTTAATATGCTGTCTAGGTTGGTCATAACTTTCCTTCCAAGGAGTAAGCGTCTTTTTAATTTCATGGCTGCAATCACCATCTGCAGTGATTTTGGAGCCCAGAAAAATAAAGTC